GAGGATGCCCTCCTCTCCCACCAGGTCAGCTGCCTCCCTGGGTGCAGAAAACCCTCGCCTGGCTGCAGGGCGGGCAGCCACCCCACGGGGAGATGCCAAATTAATCCCCCAGCAGGCAGCAAGCACTCTGAAGCTCTGATGGGCACAAGGAATTGCAGAACCCGCTCACGCTGCGAGGACAAAGGCAAGACGCACAGAAAGCCTGAGCTCTGAAAGCCTCCAAAGGCTCCTCGCTCCCCAAAGATTAAGGGAGGAAAGTGGCCGAAGACCTTTGTAAATCTCAGCTTAAGAGAGACTCGAGCTCTTTTCTGCTAAGCCTTGGCCACGGCCAGGACAGGTCACCCTCCCAGGCAGCCTGGTGACAGCCCAAGACATCCAGCTCCGATCGCCTGAGCCCCAGGAATCCTGCCTATTTGGTGAGCAGCGCTGGGAAACACGTGCTCAACTTTATTCCCTCAAACAACTCCAACAAGGATGGGAAAGAAAGCTCAAGAACATCCAGGGGTCTCTGGAAAGCCTGGCAGCTCCTCCGATCTCACAGCAGAGGCTGTGAAGTCCCTCACACAGACACCAACTCTTTTGGACGAGGCTGTAGCCAGCCCCACAGCTGCAGGCACTGACAAGGGGAGCTCCGGGAACCAGGTCTGCTCCAGCCAGCACCGAGCCGCCCCTGCCCTCCCCCGCCTGCGTTACCTGCCACGTGGGTCCCCTCCCGGCAGCAGCGCAGGGCGGCTCTCCTCCTCCTGCACCCAGCCGCAGTTGGACATGGCGTAGTGCAGGATGGCTTCCGTCACCGTCTGCGAGCCCTGGCCTTGCACGCACGTCTCTATCTCAGGGACCGAGAGCTGGCTCTGCAGGAAAAGGTGCAGGCGGCTGTCGGAGAGGAGGACCACGTTCTGCACAACCCTGCGCACAGAGAGAGGAGGGTGGGTGAGGCAGGAGCACAGAGCACGCTGAGCCCTGCCCCACCAACAGCCCCACACCACCCCGGTGACCACCGCGGATCTATTGCCACCTCACAGCCAGCAGCTTCTAAGCAAGAGCGGAGCAGAGTGTCCTCTCCCTCCACCCAGCCCTCACAAATGCTTTACTCACTTCTCCAGGAACTGCTGCAGCCCCTGCCTCCGCTTCTCGATGAACTCATCCGTGCTGCCCACGAAGAAGGTGGATTTCCCCGGCAGCTCTGGGACAGGCCTGCAGGCAGAGCACAGGCAGCGGATCACCCCAGCGCCGAAGCAAGGAGACACGGGGCCACAAAGGCAGCAGCAGCCAGGACCCTGCTTTGAGCAGGGCTGGATCCCAGGAGCTCAGGTATCCCGTGTCCGTGTCTGGAGCTTCTATCCCCACCCGTTCTGAGTTCACGGGGGTCTCCCAGGGCAATGAGAAACAGGTACAGGAGCAGGAAAGGAGGGAGAAGGCAGCACACTTACACCAAGCCAGCATTCTTCTGGAGCTGCCGCCTCAGCCACACGAATTCACGGTACCAGCGCCGCACGCATGAGGTCTTGGCAGTAAACGCCTTGCTGTTTGTCTGCAAAAAAAAAAAAACCAAACCAAAAACCCACCATGGAAAAAATCCACATGACTGAGGGGCAGAAAGGTGGAGGAGGACAGGATCTGAGCAGACCCCTGAGCTCAGTGACTAAGGGATCTCCCCAAAGCACTGGGTATTGGGGGAGCTGAAAGCACCCAGAAAACCTGAGCAGGCTCCAGGGGAGAAATTGGCTCTCGGACCCGCACAGAAGGAGGGATGGGGTGCTGAGCCTTCCCCCTTCACGGCTCCTTCCATCCCCGCTTGGCACAGCCAGACGTGGCCAGAGAACTCCGCTCATGAGCCACGCGTACGGCACAACCAAGCTCTGCAGCTCGCCCCTGTCCCTCAGTCGCAACTCACGTGAAGGAAGATTTTATAATCCACATAGGAGTTCCAGGAGCCTTCGTTCTGCACCCGCGGGTCCTGAACACGCACCGTCGTCAGCTCCTACGGCACAAAGACTGCCTGAGCGTGGGAGGCAGGGCTCAGAGGGGCTCCCGAGGACAGGAACCCACAACCACACCAGATTGTCCAGCCACCCTGCCCCAGGGGCAGCGCAGACACCTCCAGCCTTTAGCATCCCACCAGCGGCCCCACAGCTCTGCCCCATGGACCCTCACCCCTCGACACAGTGCTCAGCCCAGACCACCCGCTCCAGCGCTGCCAAACCCCAGCCAGGAATAGACAAAACCCATGACAGAAAGAGTCTTACTTCCTCTCGGTTCTCCAACATCCTACAGCCAGAGCCCAGCAGGAAACATCTGTATGGAGAAAAAGGGATTTAATCAGACAAGATTGACACATCGGGGTCTCCCGGGTACTCCGCATCCCCGGTTTGTTCCTGCAGAGCCAGAGCGGCGATGCAGGAGGGGGACAGGGTGGAAGCACCCACCCTCTGCATGGGCAGGTCTGCACTGAAATGCCAGGGGAGCTGGGGGGAGGAGAAAAGCCTGGTTTTATCCCAGCTTCCTTCTCCTACAGGCCTCCCTCTACCCCGTGCTCCCAGCACGAGCTCAGCTGGGACATCCAGGCAGGGGAAGCAGCCAGCCCACACCAGGACCCTGCTGAAACCTGCTCTTCCCCCGCATAGATCAGACCCATTCCCCAGCTGCCACCTCAGTGAGTCTCCCACGAGCACCACAGACAGACACACCACTTCTCTCCGGCTCTTTCCCAACTCACCCGAACAAGCAGCACACTCAGTACCCCATCTCCCCACCTGGCTGGGTTTTGTGTCTGCACTGCGACTGCTCTCCCTCACACCCCTCCCTAACACCCCTTCCCCTTCTCCCAGTGGGAGCCGGGGGCTGAAAAGCATCAGTGGCACCTCAGAGAGCTGCAGAGGTGCCTGGTGCCCCCCACGCTCCCCAGCTTTCCCGGCTCAGCCCCACCGCAAGCTGCTCGCACGCTCCCATCGCACCAGCTGCTTCCTCCACCGCATCCCTCCGGCGCTCCCAGGTCCTGCTGGACTGTGTCAGTTAACATGCTGCACCATTCCGTGCTCCTGCAGTCATTCCTGTTCCGCAACAACACCATGAACACAGCGCCAGGGCTTGGAGGAAGGCGGGGGCAGCAAGATAATTCCCCTCCCGGCCAATAAATGCTCAGTGCAGCCAGTGGAACCCCTCCGAGACAGAATCCCCCCGCGCCACAGACACACTGTGTGCCTGCAGACCAGGAACACTCGTCAGGGGGTGCTGGAAGACCAAGTACGTCCTGTATCCTGGTTCCACCTCCTCTGCAGGATTGCTTGCAAGACGTTTTGGAGCCCCTGGGATGAGCCAACAGCGCAGGACTTCGCCTGTCACAGCCCAGGCTCCCGAGGGACGCAGCTGCCCGATGGCAGAGGTGAAGCAACCCTTCACCTGTTCCCCCGTTCCTGGAGTCTCGCCTTTTAGGCCACGAGAGCTGCCAAGCGTCAGGCAGCGCTGGAAACCCGGCCTTTATTTATCCGCTCAGATGTGAAGCAAAGCTCTTCTAAAGACGACGGAGCTAATTTTAGCTGGGACATGGGGAGGGGTTGAGCCACAAACCACACTTTGAAAAAATCTGGCTCCACCGGTTTGTAGGTATTTTCTGCCAGACTCCAGCCACCCGATTCCGCCCGGAGAGTACAGAAAGCGTTAATAACAGCGGAGATTTTCAGGATAGACAGCAAGAGACCCAGACCCCGCTGCAAGATGTCTGCGAGTAATCGAGCTCTCGCTGGTGTTGGGTCAGGCTGCTGCTGTTTCCAATTTGAGCTGTAAGGGGGAGGGCGAGGGGAACCTACCAAAAAAGAAAAAAAAACAACCGCATGCTCCAGCGCACATGATCCTTCCCCTGGGGAAGGAGGTGAGAGAAGGAGCCAAATGTGACATGAGTCACTTTGCTCAGCGGTGCAACTGGGGAGCTCTGATCCTCCCCCGTGCTGGGGGCTCCCAGCCAGAACCAGTTCAGCAGCAGAACTTGACCATTATGTTCCCTGGGCCTCCCCAGGGGATGCTGCCGCCCTCCGGTTGCTTTTAAAGCTCCTTGCTCTGCGTAACAGCCCTGCCTAGATTAAAAATGCAGGAGGGAGAAGAGAGAGACTCAGAAATCACCTAATGGAACAAGCGGAGGGCTGCCAGGAAGAGGAATTTAACTTCCTAGCTACTGCAAGGGTGCTCTGAAGAGCAGAGAGACCCAGGGGGCAGACAGCTCTCTGTGGCCAGCGAGGAGGCGGACAGAGTGCGGGGAAAACCGAGATCAGAGTCCGAGCGCTCCCGTCTTTCACCTGTACTTTCATCCAGAGCTGCACCAAGAAACGCATAATCTTCTTTACGCTTTGTTTGGAGTTAATTGATCTTAACGTGATAAATCAACTTAACCCCACTGGAGAAGGCCGCTCTGAGTTAAACACTTACACCAAATCCTCTTTCAGGGCTTTTGCTTCCAGCCCCAGTTTAAGGGGCCCTGGGATATGTGGTTTGGGTTTGGTTTAATCGTCCTCCAATTTGCATCTCAGTATTTCCAGGGCTTGTGCTTCCAATGGCTTCGAGCTAGAAGGGCCCAAGAGGTGGAAGCCACACGGGAACACCCCACACCCGTGCTCCCGGAGCCTCACGACTTTCACCTGGCTGGGAGACGGCAATCCGAGTGTTTAACGAGCCACAGACACGGTCCCACTGCAGGCAGATTGCCTCCCCCAGTCCTGCTCTGACACCGACAGAGAAAGTGTCCGTTTTTACCTCTTACTTGCTCTCTTTTATCTTCCTTCCTGACTCAGCCACATCCTTAGCAGCCGTCTCTACCCCTCTGTAGCAGCAGGACCTGCAGCGAATGCTCCTTCCTACCAGCACACACCAGTGACAGGCAAGTCCAGGTCCCAGCTCCCTGCCCCAGCTCACAGCTCCCTGTCCCAGCTCCAGGCTGGACGAGGTTTTACATCCCTCAGCGCAGACACCAGGAGACTTCCAGCCACGCAAGACTCCTGAGTTTTGAGGAAAGCCTCCCAGAGGAGCTCCACAGCAGGAAAAAAGGGGAAGGGCTCCCACTGCGCTCTGCTGTTGCTTGTCACGCTCAGAGCTGCCCACAACGGCCCCGGGAAGGGAAGGGCTCCCTGCCCAGAGAGA